AGTAAAGACATAAATAAGATTAACCACGAGAGCTGCTTGTTGATATAAGAGATTTGTGCGAGGATTTTGAATGCTGAATTTGAATTTTGCTAAAAAAATTCCAACAAGAACTATTAACTAATAAAGCTTCATGTTGGTTAAGAGACTGGCTGTTTTGTGGTGGGGCGGGGGTGGGGAACAAAAGGCAGGGCCAGCAACTTCAGTATTGTGGGCCTTAATAGTGATGAAAACATGTACAACAGGACACAATTGTATCGTCTCTTAGAAACATCAGAAAGTTCATTATGTACCTCATGGATATATATTGATACAAGCGACAGTTCATTCTCAGAAGAAGCAAAAATATATGAAAGTAAAGGTTATTGTGTATAGCTATATAACCCTTAACAGGATCCCCAATCCTGATTAAATATTTAAAGTTCTTTGAATGCCCTGGGCTATAAATTTGGAAATATTATTTTGTTTTTTCCCTGTGAGCTTTCTGTCTGCTGTCCCTCTCTCTCTCCTTTGGTCTCTCTTCTCTATTTCCCCACCTCAAAGGTATATTAGCTGTATGATCTATGCCAGGCACTGTAGTGGGCAGTGGGGCCCCTGCTTCCAAACCTTCCACTCTTAGCTTTTCTACTTTCTGATTTTACTGAGGATTCTCTGAATTCTTTGCCAACATGTCAGTTGGACATATCTATAAACAGTGAAGTGACTGGGACACAGGAAATATGTGAGATGTTGCCCAGCCACAAGTTACTTTACTTATTACAAATGCCACATGTCAAATGATCAGCACAGATAAAAGAATTTTAGGATTTCATTTCTAAGACAGCCTTCGTAGCAACCATGGGCTTTGACCCAGACATTGACGGATGGGAGGCATTGAGAAAGCAGCAGGAAGAGTTTCAGGTGGAGGAATGATCAGAGAAAATGCAAGGCAAACTTTGTGGGGGCAATGAGCAGATCAATCCTCCAGTGTAGAAAATTCCTGGCTAGAAATAGACAATAATACAATCGAAAAAGAAAAAAAAAAAAGACTGAAGCCAAATGGTGAGATTTCTGAAGGAGTTGGTTCTGGGGAATCCATAGATGCAAAGGAAAGTAACATAATGGAAGTATCAAGGTGATTGTGGGTATCTGTTCTAACGCAGAGGTTTGCCTGTTATAGACACTTCTGTTTTCTAAACATCTTGAGTAGCCAAGGCCATCATAAATGCTCAGTAATATTTGCCTAGTGACTAGAAGAATGAATAGAGGCTGAAAGACCTGGGGTTTAAGTCATCTTGGCTGCTTACTAGCTTGGTGACACCCAGGCAGTTACTTCTTAAAGCCTCATTTTCCTCATCTGCAAGGAGGGTCAGTGACGCCACCTTTCTCATAATGTAATGGAAAGAACAAAGGTAAAGAGCTTAAGAAATTGACAGGCAAATGGAAAAGAAACGTTAGCCACTAATAATTAGAATTAGAGGTCCCTTAAAATAGAATCAAAGGCATTGGAAGGAAGCATAAAAAGCAATAAAACCAACTTGTTTGCTGCATCATGGGCCTGAATATCAATAAGACAGCTTATTAAAACTCACTGTGACTGTTTTGCCAATATATTCTTCTAAACTGGTATATATGCCTAGAATTTACTTTAAGCCATCTAAAGAAGAGGCAAGAGAAATACAAGTTCCAAAATGATATGGATTGTGATGTGATTGATTGATGATGTATGAATAACTGGTGAGCCTGCTATCATCTGCAAAATCAGGCAAATAATGAATATTGAATCAATGGAGAATATTAAATTAAGAACTACAAAGACAGTGTCTGATACAGGGTAGGCCCTGAATCAGTGTTGGTGGGATGAATGAATGAATGAATATTTTCTAAATCCTTATGGAAAGATATTGGTATAACTTACTAGATACCTATGTTTCAAACTTCTAGCAAACTGAATTTGTCTTCAAACATTTCCTAAAAATCCAATACTTTTAAAGATGTCTGTAGTAAATTATGTTAAAATCCTTGAGATTGTGATAGTTAACTATACACCATATGTTCCTGACCATGGTAAGCCACCTTGTCTTCCTTTCTCCAAGGACACTCCTCCTAGCCTTATGGTATACTTTAGTCTTTACTTTTGGACTGTAAACTCAATTGTCAGAAAAATGTAGGAAATTCAAGGATTTATGAATCATTATGATTAAATAATGCCAAACACCATTAAGAATACAAATAATGGCTTAGAGACATAATTAAAAATGGAAAAAGGTTCTGTTTACTATATGGTGTAAGATCATAAAGTCCAAAGCCTTTAGAAGGAATTGGGGTCACTATGAGTTTATATAGGCCATTTTTTATTAAAAAATTATAAACACCATTAAGTAAATTACAATTTTCACATTTTAAAATCTGAACAAATTTTAAATGTTTCAGTTAATTATTAGTGCTAGAGTATGAAATTCGGCTTTTTAGAAAAACTTTTATTTTCTCAAATCATCCTGATACCATTTAAACAAAAATATCCAACTGTTGGCTGTGCAAATTAAAATCTGCTGTTGGATCTCAGAGGTGATTAATCAATAGATTAAACCTTACCATGTGTCCTTGCCACCATGCTTGGATGGTAAGTTGGGGCAAACCCGTTAGCTGTCTAAAAGGCCCCCTCCCTTCCCAGTTCTTTCTCTATAATAAAATTTCCTGCTGATGGTCAGTGTAATTTGAGGTTTGTCGCCTGGCAAACTATTTTGTGGAAAATAAACTCATGTAGCTGAAAGGAAAGATTTTATTGAATTATACAAGTAACTTGCCACTACTGGGAAAATCCTATATCCTAAAATCAACCCCTTGGACAACATCCCAAGGCCATCTCAAATCTTTCAGCACTTTATACACAATTTCTAATAAAACAAGTTTGGTGTTTTACTTTTTTTTTTTACCCCAAACTCAGATGAATACCTTCAAAGTCAACACAACTTTCTAGGTGACAGAATAATATTATACCAAAAAGACAAAACCCAAAACTATAGGAGGCAGAAAGCAACTAAGAGGAACCAATAACCCTGCAATGCTGGTGTGTGGAAAGGAATATTAATTACAAGAAGAAACCAAACTTGGGAAAATTCAATAAACACATTAGAAGAGGATAATAATCTCATACTAGAGCATAACTTTATTTTCATTTTAAAAAATGTACTTATGGCATGTTAATTCAGCAATAATATTATATTCTGACTTTATTCACTACAATCAAGTTAAATTACATAATTTTTTTCTAATTAGCATTTAGAACAATGCAATTTGAAAGCTAATGGCTTTGTGTAACATACACAGAAAAACTGATTTAAGGATTTCATTTTGACTTAACATAAAATTGATCTAATGTGTCACAACTCCAGTTCTCAAAATATTTCTTTAAAAGCCATATGCATAACTTAACTTGTGTCTACATCTCCTGAAAGAATTGAGGTGCAAAGATGTTTCTGGTAACATTAGGTGCAATCAATATATATATCTGTTTATATATCTGCACTTACCTATTCAATAAAGAGATATAGTAACTGTGTATTTTACGCATAGTTTTTATTTATTAGCCCATTTAAAATTTTTAAAAAATACATGATATCTGGAAGAAAAATCAAACCAATTTTGTGATAGTGGCTAGTAACAATATTTATTCCTTCTCTTTTCTCAGCCTTCCCTGACTTATATGAATTAGTTTTTTCCTCTTTAAACCACAAACTATCATATGTAATATTTAATATTTAATATGTACCTTTAAGATACACCTAAATATTTTAAGGAAGTACCAAAATAAAATGGGAGGAATCGGGAAATACTATTTTGTCTCAAGAGTTTAGTACAATTGCTTCAGCTGAGATAAATTCATGAAGACATTTCTAAAATACTTCTACGTAAGGATAAAATGATTTCTATGTAAGAAACAATCACCAGCCAGTGTTATTATCACCAGAAAATTGTAAGCTAGAATGAGCAATAAAAACATTGTATTTGAATGAGATATTAGACAATAGCTATTAAAATATTTTACTCAATTTCTATTACACCTTAAAATGAAAGTCATCAAAATGTCATTACAGGCCTGTTCCCCAGATTCTTCAGAGACTGAATTTAATCATCTCAGGAAATTGAGCGCTATTTGACATTTACTTAAATCTTTTGAAATAACAGTAAAGCAAAACACAATGTCAAATTTATAAGACATTTTATATTAAAATATGACCATATACACAACATACATACATACCACATCCCGGGGAATACTTGCCTTCAGATACCTGGAATTCAATATTCCTCGTGAAATTAACCACTCATACAATGCATTACCTTCAAGAAGACCTAAGTAAGAAACCCAAGTTAAGAAGCCACAATTAAGCTTTGCAAAACCTCACTCTTATTAAAGCGCTAAAGTAGCAGTTAAGTAAAAATATCTTCAAAAATCAATTTTTCTTAAATTACCTCCACCAAAATTATTGCCTGTACAGCAGAACATAGAACTTTTAATTGCTGTTCAACTAAAGAGCTAAACATTAGTTGAATTAGTCCAATTACACTAGTAAAGGCATCCTTGTGTGTATTTTCAGAAAACTAACACACTTTGAAGAATTTTTAAGCTGGAAGAGACCATCCATATCACCAAATCCTGTTTTCTCTAACCAGTTCTAGAAATAAAGTATACATAAAACAGATAAAGATTATTTTAATTGATCCTCAAAATGACCATTTTATCTAAAATATAAAAATCTACTTATTCTCAAGGCTGAAAGTAAACATACAAAGTGTCTGACTGTTTTTTGTTAATAAAACCTAGGCAATCTTTAGCAAATGACTAACAATAAAATTCCCTAAGATAGTTTCTTCTTTAAACCTTTTATGTTTAGACCAAGGGTTTAAATTTTAAACACTCATTTAGAAAGCAGCTTTCTAATGTTACTGGTAAGAAGTACACGGAAACGGTTTGAAAATTGCACTTTAAAAAATGTTTAATTTTTACCTTTCCATTCCAGGAGGATGCCACTTCTTATGGAACCCATTTTTCCTGGAGACACTCAGTGTTGGCCGATTTAGAATAAAAACCATTAGTAGATCACTATTCAAAGAGAAAACTACGCTACAAAGCCGCAATCTCTCTTGGAAGGAATCGGACGGCAGTTATAAGCCTTTCCTGATACCTTTTTGTTATCATCATCTTATTAGCAGACCGTGTGCTCCCCGCAGCATCAATTAATCAGTTTTTAAGGAAACGGGGAAATGCACGCAGGTTCATCTGCTAAGCACGGGCTGTATACTCCACAGCCTCTTTAATCACCAAGGCTCCTTTTAACAAGGTTCTAGAATGCAAGGGCGTCGGGGGCCCATTAAGTAAGCATGGAGGCAGAATGTTCCTAGGAGCCACCAATAGTGGATACAACTTTCCCTCAAACAGCCGGCATGAAGATGAAGGCAGCCCGTCGCAGCACACCCGCCTGTCTATGCCTCAGCTCTTGCTGGCAGTTGCCAAGCGGAGGCCAACCCCATTGTAGAAACTACTCCTGACTTCTTAGTGCCCCAGCAGAATCCTGGCATCTGAAGAAGGCCTGTTTCATAAGCAGCCCCAACTAAAGAGAAAGTAAAGAAATGGAAGGTTTACCCTCTCATCCTCCATCCACCTACAGCCGCATCATCTGAATCAGGAATGAAATGCTAACAGACAAGAAAATGAATGCCAATTTCCTCCACTTTGCTCCAAGTTTCCGAGGCCCCTCCACAATAAAAGATAGCTGAGTGTGGAGGCTGCCCTGTTCCATACCATTAACTCAGAACAAAACATATTTTTAGTGGGACAGCAGTGTTTACTTGTAAGAACTGATGAATGGTTCGCCACCATCTATCACTCGCAGACAAAGACGTTCAGCCACAATTTTGGACATAAATCAAGGTACATGCTCCTCAATAAAAAAAAAAAAAAAAAAAAAAGACGGCTTAAGTCCCCAAAACCACAGAGATTGAGGTCAGACTGGCCATAGCAACCAAGAACAGGACTTGGGTCTCTAGAAGGACCTAGCAACCGATAAATGAGTTCAGATCTCTTTTCATCTCCACTGGTGTGAAAGCCAAAATTAAAAAGATTAGATCACCCTGCACCCATTACAAAAGGCGCCACAATGAAAAAGTCATTTCCAGCCTTTGAATCACATCAAATAAATAACATTCATCCCTGCTATAATGAACAACTTTCAAAGTAAATTGAATCTCCATAGCACTGCTTTCCCTGGCTGCTCAGTATTTACATAACAATATATCACAGGAAGCTCAGAATGGGGCTTGTAAATGGGGAACTTGGGATAAAAAGCATCTTTAGCCCCGATTACTGTATACTCAGACTGCTTTCCAATTCCCCTCTTTTAAACAATGTGTTGTATCAGGAACACAAACAATGTTTTTAAATTGTGGGAAATGAAAGTTTTCGGTACATTTTTAAATGCCTGGACTCACCCATTTTGTGGGGCACCAAGAATGTAGAAATCACTTAACCTCCTAAATCCATGCCCTGGATTCATTTTTGTGACAAAGAATTCTCATCTCTGTATACACTCGCTTCTTTGTTCCTGCCAGCAGTTTTTACCCCATCTCCTGAATTTTTTTCTATTACTTAAGATGAAAGCAATTTGCAGATTTCCTTAGCATCTGTCTCATTCATTATCTGTCATTTCCTCGAAAGTATAAGGTATTCTCCATTGTCATAACAATAATATCTGTTAAGTTTTAGTAGTAACTCCACAGAAAATATTCATCTTCCACAGTCTAATTTTGACAAAATTTCTCCAGATCATTAACAACAACAACAACAAAAATTAAGGACTAAAATCTCTAAATACTTAAGCTTCCATAAACTACTGTACAATTCAAATATTTCAAATGGAGTACATTCAAAAACGACAGTTAAATCTATGTTAAAAATATACCCGCATAATCCTATCTTTCTGTAACAGCTCACGTAGGCATTACTGTTTGAACTCCACAGGGAATCTCATTAATTTTTAAAACTCTCTGACCTCAGTACAGTTGAGTGTAAAAATAATTACAAATTAAGAATGAGAGAGCATCCTTGAATTCTACATGGCCATATGTTCTATGTTACCCAAAACATTGCTAACTATCATCAAACAGCATTTTTTCCAGATATGAATTTAAACAGCACGATAAATGTCACCAGACAGACATTAAAAAGCAACTCACCCTTCTGCCCAGCCCCGCTCACACCTCACCTCCGATGATTCTAGTAACACAAAGCTCTGAGAACACAGGTTTGCAGGCAAGTGCCAGCAGAAGATACTCTCAGACAAATATTTCCCTATCGAGACTCCTGCTTTCTAGCTCAATGTCTCTCTCAGCCACAAGGATGCAAAATGCCAGAATCGGGGCATAAATATTTTCTTACCTGAAACTTGTCAGAAGGACGGTCCTTGGGTCCCTGTCATTGTTGTCAACTCTGATGCCCCCTCTCTCGCCAGCGTAGAAATTGGCTCCACTGTGTTTATTGCCGTATGCCTCAGTTACAGCTGTGGCACTCATCTGCCTTCATACAACCTATGAGGGGAAATGAGAGAGAGTAAGAGAGAGGGGGGGAGTGGATGTGTGTGCTTGTGTGTGTGTGTGTGTGAGAGAGAGAGAGAGAGAGAGAGAGAGACTGCTGACTTGAGACTAAGAACCTGAAACCTCCGGCCAAGACAAGCCTGAATAAAAATGATCAAAGCTCTGCCCTCCATCAGGAGAGCAGACAGATATTTTTTTCTCCTCCACTGAAAAGTGGAACTGTCATTGGAGATTCTCACCAGGAGAGTGAGGAGGCAGACCTTCTCCAGAGTGTCAGCGCTGCCCAGCAGTCCGTGCAGAATACAGGTACCTATTGTTCCAGAGACAGATATGTAGCCAGCCAGTCAGACTCTGACAGATCTCAGCAAACCAGTGAGCCTGCCTTCATTTTAACTCCTTATTTACTAGTGCTTTTTGGTCAAATGCAAAGGTCCTCTCCTCACCCACGAGAGAGAAACAGAGATGATGCAGATGAGCTCTGTGGCAGGAACTGACCCTGTACCTTTTACAAAGAAGGACTTTTTACTAGTATTATGGAAATGCTGAATTTGAAGCAACTATCTTATTTTTTCTGGGAAGAAGTGAAGCATTAGATTATATGGAGAAGACTTAGCGAGTAAAAGAGAATCTTGGCACCCAAGAGGAACAGAACAGCCAGTCTTAAAAGGAGGGGAGCAATGGTGGCTCTGGACAGCAGCCTAGAATGTGAAGGGGGTTACCTGAGCCAAAGGGGTCCCAACATTTTGCAGAGGGGTGTGGCGCACGAAACTCCTTCCACACAAAACCTGCTCAGGAGACCTCTGTTTTCCTAGGGGTTGGAGTCTTTCTGGCCTCCAGAAAGACTAGACATTGGGAGACCCCATTAGACATCTCAAGCAACCCCCAAACATCTCCCCTCCTCAAAGCCTCACCATTGTCCTAATTATGCCCAAGGCAGGAAAACAAAATTAAGGAAGCTCAGAGAAAAATAACTTGGGCTCTATTTCCCCTGATGGATCCTGAGATCCAGGGAATAACTCTGATTCTCTAAATTCCTGGACCTTCTAGATGACAGTGGGTTTCTAACCTTCACCTTCTGTATCAACTGAATAATTTTCTTCTGCAAAGTGAAAGAAGGCAAAATCCCTTGCATTTGATTGTTTAGCACTATTAGAAGGCAGGTAATAGAAAAACAAAAGAAAAAGTAGCTTCTCACTGGGTTAAAATAAGAGATAGACTTATGCACCCCACAAAGCCTTAATCCACAAGCACTTTGGACTTTTTCCCAGAAAGAACACTAATTTTATTAATTGTTAACATTTGCGCAAGAAACAGTGTGCATATTCTGATATAGTAAATGTGCTGCTGGGTCTATAAAATGGCTATGAAATTCCTTGGTAAGACCCACACTCAAGCATCACTTTACAAAGCCAGGGGGAAAATACTCAAAGCTATAGGGGGAGGTTAAAGCATGCATGGCTGTTAATGGTAATGAGATATGCTATACATGTTTACATGCTGCCCAGCAGCTTCCTCTAAATATCTAGGGTTGTTTTATTTTTTTAAGAACCAAATAAGAGATTGCATCATGATGTTTCAAGACTATTAAAAAAAAAAGGGAGAAAAAAGACCTAACAAACGCAGTTCCCTCCTTTCACACTGTCTCACAGCCTAAATGCCAGCATTTTGAAACCAGTTCAAGTTATGCCAATTTACCTAGAACTCTGTGCAATTAACACAGAACTCTTTTAGAAGTTAAAATCGCTTGATGTGGTGACCTCTGGAAGTCTACCTCTTGTATGGTCTTCAGGGAGATCTTCTATTATGCGTAGAAGGAAAAGGATGTCAAGACCTTACCTGAACAGGAAGGAAAATATGCAAGGTCTCTTACTAAACTCATCTTCACCTATGAGACAGCAACAGAACAAGAGAATCCTGTAGCCTGCTTTTGCTAGGTGGAAGAAACAGATATTTTTCAAACCCATTTTAAAGAACACGCATATCTTTGTAAGCTTAAGGGATAATCCAATTTATCATGACTGTCTTAACAGCAAAATAGCAGAAGGCCATTCAGTGAAAGAAAGATTATAGGTACACATATAGAACAGAACTGGATCACAGAGGAGGTGACAGCTAGCAGGCAAGGCTCCCACGACTACCTCTAATGCAGCAGTTTAAAAGGTGCATCTGAGCTTTGCTCCTGAGCATGTGATAAGACTTAGGTGTAAGTACATTTAATTAGAGCATTACCCAGGCCCCATCCAGATGTCATTATCTTTTATGGTGGGTTTTTTTTTTTTCTCTTTTGATCTTTCCATCCAACTTCTGTTGTCTTCAAAAAACCAAGCTTGGTGTGCCAAACAGATTTTAAATATTCCGCTCTTACCATGTTTGAATATTGACAGTTCTCACAGTCGGGGTCCATTATTTTCTGGAAGCATGTGCAGAGGTTATCAACATTAATGAGAGTCTGTGCACACGGAAATAAAACCCGAGGATGCACTCCTGCGAAGTGTGTGTGTGTGTGTGTGTGTGTGTATAAATGGAAATCAGTATTTGAGCAACATATACATTTTTGTTGTTGTTCTTTTATGAGTGAGGGAAAAGATCACTTTTTTCTCTCAATAAAGTTATTTGTGAAAACTCGACTAGGAAGACTTTGTCCCTAGAACAGCCCTGGAGCCTATTACACAGTCCTAAGTTTATAATTCAACTTCAGTCCCCAATTTGCCAAATAATTCATGTCAAGCAGAAGTCCAACATAAAGTGCCAACTGTTTCTTGAAAGGAAAGGGAAAAAAAACTGTTTCATGTGCTGGGTTTTTGAGGAATAAACCCATGAGGTGAGGGGCACCACTCATTAACAGTAGCAAGGGGTAGGCTAATTCCCTGGCACTCGGCTCCGGCTCCGTGTCTCCCTCTTTTCATCCACATCACTTGAACATGGAGACGTGAAATTAGGCTTCCCAGAAGAAATGTGAAAGGAAAACAGAATATCTTCATTATATTACAGAATAGTCCAATTTTTATAAGCTGCCCCCAGGACTTGTTATAGACACATTCAGTTACTCATTCACACAATAAACCTCATGCTGATAGAACTTCTAAGTGACTCTCCGGGAACATCGCAGGTAACCAGACTCCAGCAAAGTTAAAAATAGTCTCCCCACCAAATTAAATATTATCTAACTTCTCCACACAGTTATTTAAATACATAGAAGATCACCTCTGTGTATAATCTATAAATGGCTTGGATTACACATTAAAATTCTAATTAAAAGTTTTTGTCTTATCTCAGTTGGCCGATGTGAGATTGGAGAGTAAACTCTGGTTCAGAGTGAAAGCTCAGGTGGGCTTGAGATCTCTAACAGCTGCGAGTTGGCAATGCGTGGCAGGACCACGAAGCATTTCTAATAGGAAGAAAAAATACAGAACTATGAACAACTTCAGAAACTGCTTTTAGTCCTGGGTATTTAGTGCCATAAAGAGACTCCCCGTGGACGTATTCCACAGAGCTTTATTTTCTTGAGAGTCGGAGAGAAAAAAACATGAGAAACAAAATTTCTGTTGTGTGAGAGGAAAGTATTGCCATATTCAAAACCAATATCTTAAAAATATGATCATGCAACTGGCTGACTAGAAAATGTACAGTGGAATATATAAATTTTCTTCTCAACATTTAAGATCCAGGATGGGATAAATGCTACTTATGTTTCCATTTAATTCACTAAGTGAAAAACACTATTTCTAGGAGCACTGTTGTGAAAAGTTAGTGAAAATTTGTTGGAAAATATTAGAGACTACTTTACACCAACCAAATACCTGCAGTATTTAACAGTTCAGCCATTTGGTAAATAATAGAAGGAAAAGTATGCATTTTTCCCTAACAGTGCCCTCACTGCAGCAGAATAATACATATTTTATGGAGTCTCCATAATCAACTTTCCGATACAGAGTTTAAATTAGGGAAACATTTGGTATCACAAAAACTCCATGATATATTTTACTCATCAATTAGTAAGCAACCAGATATTTGGAGATAAGAGTAAAGTATTCTGTTTTCCTTATTCTCCAAGAGCTGTTGGAAGTCACATCTGAGAATATAGGTAGAGACAACAGAATGCTAATATTTTGAATAGTAACAAAGGGAAAGCATTTGCATTGTTCCATGTGTAAAGGAAACAATATGTTTTCCATGTTTCCATAAATGTTCTCCTTAAGTGGTCTCAGACTTACAGCACAATGAGAAAAAAAAAATTAACATAGAACTGATTGATGAGAGTTGATATTCAACACAAAAACATTGTGAAGAAGTTGGGAAACTCCCAGAGGAAATTAGGCAGAAAAGTTGGTCAAGATTTCCTCACATTTATTTTGTATAGCATTTTAAAAATCACAGAATATTCCCTCCAAGAAATTACAATTGGAAGTTTTGTTAAAAGTATCCTGTATCCTGCTTTTCGGGTGAGTTAGGACCTACCTGACTTTTCCAACAGCTGTTTGCAGAGCTTCACAGGAAGTGGGAGAGGGGCTGACAGCCCCGCAGCTTCAGCTAAAAGTGTTCTCCTCTCTTCATTCTGCCATGTGCGGTCTTTCCATCCAAGTCTTCTGATAAAAGTCAGGATAAAGCATGATTTATTAATATGGCAAAGTCATTACAATCTTCAGCTAAAATGTTATTGGAGCTTTCCCTAGCTACTGCTGTTTAAGGAAGTCTTTAAAAACCAATTTAATTTCCTTCCACCCAGTCAAGTTTTCTCCACAGATAATTGGTTTTCATTATATGCACAAAAAGCATCAGTGAAGTCAGTGTGTATGAGGCATTTAAATATTTTCAAATGAAAGCCTGCATATATTTATGTTTGGCTACCCAAACACACACTTTCATTCGATTCTGTACCACTGACCATTTAACGACACCCTTTTAATACGAGAGCACCATGGAAATTGGAAAGTCTGCACAAACAGTCAAGTTAGTCATTAGTAATTGTAGAAGTTATATAAAGTTGAAATGGTAGATGTCATATTCTTTTATTTTAAATAAGTATATTATTATAAAGCAAAGTGTTCTCTCTACTAATTGTGCTGAATTTTTACATGCTTACAACTAGAATGCTCCTGTTTTTATTTTCAAAGCCTTAATCATTTCACCGGGAAAAAATAAACTAATTTTTTTTCTAATCATAATTTACACAACAGCCCTTTTAGGATTTATAGAACTCACCTCAGTATTTTATTATCATCAAAAGTGTGTTTGAGATGCTGGTGCAGAATCACTAATTGTTCATAAGTACCTTGAAACATTAGATTAGCGATGTTTATAATTGTCTAAATAGAGCATGACGATATGA